CACATGAGGTAAGGGACAAAGGGAGACTTCCTCTATCAGGTTTCCCTTCKTGAATGATGTCAACCACCTTCACAGACACTTGGTTCCTTTGAAATCACTTCTGGTAAGAAACCAAGGAGGAGATCAAGAGTTTGGGATGTGAGGCTGCATCACTGAGCCCACCTTAGTGCTTTGTTGTGGGAGAGCTGGTGAAGTGGTGACTGAGTGACTGCTCAGCCTTCTCCCTCCTCCCTCCCTAACAGACTCCATCCCTCCTACTGTTGGCAGGATTTGGGATGAAGAACTGCTGCTGCCTGTTCCTTTCCTCACAGCCCTCTGTTGATCCTCTTACTGATCACCTCAGGGCCACATCTTGAAATACCAGAAAAGGGGCTGCAGCAACGGCAGCAGCACAGCGCATCTGGAGGGGCCTCTACAGGTAAAGCAGTAGGGGTAGAGGATGGAAGTGCCACAGTTGCATAAAAGCAGCTTGGCAGGGACAAGGCATGGGTGCATGGTCATCCTGCCTAAATAAAGGTGTGCCAAATTTCACCCTATAGCACCACAGCTACTTTCTGCCACACACAGGGCTCAATTTAACACTATAGTACCTGCAAAGTGATTTGGAAGCAACAAAATTAAGGCATAGAATAGAAAAAAATATTGGGTCCACTGCTTGAGCTACACAAATCATCATTATTTTCCAGTGAAAAACACCTCCACACGAAGAGTTTCTCTGATGAGAGAAATCAAGGATATTCCAAAATGATTCATGGGTGTGTAACCTGGCTACAGCTGACAATGACTGTGCCTTGGCAGGCTGAGATGACAGGCTGGAAGATGAGCTCCTAATGAAATCAAGCTCAAAAGCAAAAGTAGAGAAAGCTCCAATGGCTGATAATTTAACACAGAAAAACAAGATACAACAGCACACAGGAGTGCTCTAGTGWGCAGTTATGACCTACATGGTCAGGTAATAAAACAGATACCTGTAATAAAGCAGATATGAGCAACAGTCTCATGAGCCCAGAGAGGTGTGGGCACAACAGCAGGATGTGCTATTACAAGAGAAGCAAATGTTAGAACACAGCAGGTTTGAAGCAGAGGTGGATTGCACTGAGCAAAGCAAAAAGCATTCCTGGTGAGAGGCAAGGTGTGCACAAAGACCCACACATGAACCCATCCTGCCTGAGCTCAAGGCAGCTGGACTGGCAGGCAAGATCAAGCTGTTCAGGGTAGAAACAGGGACACAGACAKTTTGGGTTTTACCATAGGTCAAAATAAGATAAAGATGGCGGTAAGGCATTTGTAACTCCCCATCTTAACAGTTCTTGATGAAATTTCTGTAGCATTTAAAGTCTAGAGATGAATAGGTTTCAACACAATAAAAGAAAAAGTTTAAATATGAACACTCTTTTTGTGAACAAAATTAGGAATTAAACAGGTCCCCATACGCAAAAATGCAGTATTAAAATGCAGGTCCAGTCAACAACTGTAGGATGATGTCAGCATCCAGGCCTTTTCTATAATAAATGTGTATTTTGCATGAGTACTAGAAAGAAAAGGCTTAAAACTATTGAACTCAATAACAAATCCACCAGTGGTGGAAATAATGAAATGAAAACTGACATSAGAGGAAGCTGAGAAATGGCATACTGATTAATTTAAAAACCCACCSAGCCTTTGCAAAACCAYATTATCTAYAAGTACTGCTTACAATAAGRGCCAGAATAAAGGAGAGATGACAACTTACAAGGGAATTGTGTAGTTTATAAAAGGTGGAGGAGCCCTTCATGTACATGAGAGGAAGAGAGACATAAACAGCTCCTTAAAGAGTCAAGCAGAAGGAGGATACTGCTGCCTACCCAGACTGGGATACCAGCAATAAATCCTGGCAACAAATAAAAAGCCCAAATGCTGCCAGAGTGCTGCTTCCCAAATCACTGGAAGAGACCATTTTRATTAGAACTATATTTGAATTGCAGACAACATTTGAATTATGTGAGAAAAAAGAATTAATGGTTCACCCACTGCTTTCTACTAATACAGAGCTTTATCCTGAAGACGGATTATTCACAAAGGGACACTACTTCTATCATTATCATCATCATCATTGTACTATTATTATTTATTATTGTTATTGTTGTTATTCTTCTTCTTCTTCTTCTTCTTCTTCTTCTTCTTCTTCTTCTTCTTATTATTATTATTATTATTATTATTATTATTATTATTATTATTCCTCCTCTGTCAAGCTTGTCTTGACTTTCTGCTAATTAACCTGGCATTTTAAAATTATTTTTACTTATCTGCTAATTGAAGAGGATCCATGCACAAAACATCACAAAGCCCTAATTCAGGAGTTTGTTATTCACTCCCTTGTGGTAATCTAGCTGTTTCAGAGACATGTTACTGGATTCTTTGTAAGTTAACTTTAATCAGGGAAATGGGGTGACTCACAGGTAGTCAGGCAGGGTGGCACAATACACGTGGTAGATAGGAATTCTAGGCAGGTTGTAATATTAGCAGCAAAATCAGAAAGTCAGCTCACACACAACGTGATCTAAGATTCACTAAGAAGTTTCAGAGAAGTTCTTTTAAGTAGTAACCTAGACTAAGTGATTTTTATTAGATCAGGCCACATTTATTGTTACAAGTGCTAGCCTGCGTATTACCAGGCTACTATTCAGAGCTTCTGATRATGGTAATTTCACTTAAATTATTAGTTTGAAATTTCTCTGTTTATTGACCCGCACACAGCTGGGCTCTAGTAAAGTGTCTTTATTGTCAAGATGTGGAAGACAAGCACCAAACCTGGGGCTGTTGCTTGCAACACCACAGTGATCACTGCAGCAGCCCTGTCATTCATGTTTCGTTCAAGGGTGAGAAAAAGCTATCTATTTGAACCAGGYTGGGTCAGCAAGAAAGCAGAGAGCACAGGCTGAAAACTTTGTTTCAGTTCCCTTTGCAACCCAAAAGGTTAGTGTAAATAGGAGGAAGTTGCTGGTTGATGGAAGGCCAGGAGCCAAAGGGGCATTCAGGGTGAGCTGTTGGAGTGTTTACACAGCCTGATGAGCTGACCCAGTGCTCCACACAGGCCCCCCAGCTCTGCTGAGAAGCTGTGCACATCTGGTCAGATAAAATTACMCTTCAAACCAGCCCTTGTGGTAACAGAGGTAGCTCAGCCAAGAGCTGGCTCCAGGGTTTTGTATAGAACCATACTGCACTGCATGGACATSCTTTGTCTCCCATTCCAGGGCTTGGCTCTTTTGGGTTGAGGATGAAGTCTGCTACTGATTACCCCTCTGCTACATCCCTTCTTTAAACAAAAATCCTAACAGGTTTCTCAACAGAGTCCTGTAACCTCCTTTAATTCAGCCTCTACAAATACCAGCTTACAGCACTTGAAGCTAACCAAACATCTCTCTATCCCTGTCCAAACCCTGGAGCTGTTATTTTACAGGAGATCCTTAACTTCCCAGTGCTGTGTTTCATTGCTGCTGCGCCGAGCACACGCATGCTTTGGGGAGCAGTAAGTGCTGCTGTGTGAATTACATCAGCACACAGGGCTTGCAAGTCTCCCTGGACCAACTTTGGGGGATCACTCACCACTCACTGTGTGGGTGTCCAAGGCCCTGGGTCATACTGTCGACCTGAAGGAATTAAACATCTCGAGTGGCAGCTGAAAACACATGTCCAGGTCCGTCTTTAGCACTGTGACCCCTCTGCAGACTGTTGGAGGACCTGCAATCCCAACTCAGCCCTGCAGTTTTACACAGATGCCATACATACTACCCATTTTAAAAAGCTGGTTTTGACACAGTAGGATGAAAAGCAGTCCCAGTCTGCACAGCTGCCAACCCTTGCCTTCCCCCTTCCTTGTCTCTCTGATCTGCTGAGGGGAAGGTTCCAATGACATCCTCCTCCCAATTAATGCCAGCTCAAGCAGCTCCTGTGGTGTCCCCTGGTCCTCTTTGCCTTCCCCTTCATCCCACCTCCCATGTTCACATACTGTTCCTGAAAACCCTCAGTATTCACACAGGCAAATTAGACCCYGTTCCCAGGATCCACAGAATAAATTCTCAGGTTGATCCCAAAATGATACCCATTTCTCCATCTCAGCCCGAACTTCTCACACAGCTTTCCAGGTCCTCATACCAATATCTAGTTTCTTTGTTTTTTGGAAATTTTCCATTCTCCTGATCTCTAASCCTCTGAGAAGGGCTTTGGATAAAACCACTTCTTGCAGGTTTTAGCTAGCTTGTTGAAATTAGTGACTCCACACCTCTCATCTGCTAGAGATAATCTCCAGCCTCAATGAGCAAAGGAACATCTCTCCTTCATGTAGGAGCATTGTGTACCAGAGCACTTTTCAGGACAACTCATATTACTGGGCAGGTAATAAGGTTCCTGCAATGGACTTCATGGAATATTCCACAGGATTCGGGYGATTTCCAGCAGAATGAGTAGAAAAGCAGCTCCATCTAAAGAACACAATATATTAACCTGCTCAAGTCACACCTTACACTTGCCTTTCCATACCTCTGCATCTCTAAGACTGCCTGGGTTTAGGCTACAACAATTACCTGAAAAGCTCRTCTTTTCTGCTACGATAAAGCAGTTTATTAAACCCCCAAAAAACCCTATCTCAGTACTTGTTTTAGATTCTACCTATTGCATTCAAGAAGGCTTCTCAAATACAACATGTTGTTGTGAATGGGAAACTGGAAGTGTACAATGAGATTAAAACTTGCCAGTACTCTTGGGTAAGTGTCACGTGGAACAGAACGGGCAGGAATTTTGTGGGAGTGCTCATGAGGTGAGGTAAGGTCACAAATCCTACCACACCTGTATTCAGAACTTTGAAAAGGGAGAAGAAGGCAGCTGAGGTCTTTAGGATGTTATCACAGCCTAAAGTCCCTGGCAGGATTTCACAGGCCTTGAGAAGTGAAAGTGGGGAAAAAAACAGCTGGGACAGAGCCACTTTCAGAACAAGCAATGGGAACTGCTAATGAAGGACAAACGGAACTAAAGAGAATGATTAAGAGTTCCACTATTTTATTGGTGAGTTTGACATCTGGTTAAACAATACATACATTTGGAACTGGATATCCAGTAGCTCCCATATACAAACCAGCACAGTATCTTGGCAAATTCACAGGGTAGAAGRAAAAGCCATTTAAATGATGCAGGCTCCCAGGAGCAGGGAAGACAGTAGTAGGTAAGCAGGTTAGCTGGCAGGAATGGGAGGGGAATGAAGAGAGAGAGGGATATATGAGCTCTAGGCATCTGCCTTCCCCAGCTCAAATTAACCAGCTAATTTCCCCTGGTGCTCTCTAAAGAAACAAGCTTCTCCAGAGGACAATTCACTGCACAATATTACACTGCTGCGCTACACAACTCCCATGAACTTATTCTCCATTACTTGGGGAAATACTGCTCTCATCAGCAATTGCAGAGCATGCCCAGGGAGATGTGCTGACTAATTTTGATGCCTAAAGATGTGTAAATCTCCTTTCCCTTTTTCCTTCTTCCCCAACCACCCATTGTGAGTGATCATGTAAACAAGAGGCATTCATCCCGTATTCACAGATGAGTTTGTCAAGGAACAGGACATTTCACTGCCTGTTCAACATCGCAGACACATATTGAAGAGTATAATTCATTCTAATTCCAGAYGGACCCTGTTTTGCCAGAAGTCTACTTTTCCCCTTTGTACAGCATCAGATTTGCCCATGCTGTATGCCCATGCCCATTGGCACAGAAGTGCATGTGAATGCTCAGTAAGGCACCCATTTGGGTGGTCAAGCACAGGATCTGCCTGCACACATCTGCTGCCAACCCACGAGTCTCGGAAGGCAACAGGAGGATTTTCACTGATTTTAACAGATAGGGTAGATGTAAACAAATGTCACGTGCAGAATTCATTCGCATATCAAGATCCAGTCACTCCTAACATCTGACTGATTTGAGAGAAAATCATACAGACTTTCTTGTTTTCATCTAAATGAATCCAACTTCTGAATGAACATTTACCCAAAGGAAGACTATCTTCTGCCAATACTGACTGGCTGCAATTGTGTATATATTCACAACAGATGTGCTCCTGTTGTGGATTAAGGTTTCTCCTTTTGCTTCCTTTCTTGGGGAATTTTTCTTTCCCATTTTGTTGCTGGCATACACTGATTGCCAGGTCATTCTTTTGATGGTTGGGTGATTGGGGAAGACAAAAGGAACCTAGCCCCACCCAAAGAGTCTCAYTGGGCACTCCTCCTCCCTGGCAGCGTTTTTTTCCCTCTCTTTGGAGAGACGAAGTTCTTGCGGGAGTTTTGGGCTCGGGGAGGGCATGTGTATGTGTGGGGCGGGGGGTAAATTCACTTCCTGCCCTGATTGGCTCGGGGGAGGATGGTGGACCTGCTGTCTGCAGGGGAGAGCTCGCCTGATGCTGCTCAGAGCTCAGCATCTCCAGCCATTGGTTCCTGTTTGTTGCACTGTGATCTTCTGCCCCTGTGCCTTGCCGGGGACCCCTGGGATTCCAGCTGCAGTGGTTGAGTTCTGCTGCATCCCGTCTATAGCCGCAGGATTCTGCTCGTCTTTTTGCCCATCTGGCCATTCTGGGGTTTCTTGCTGTCCAGGGGAGAACAGAGATTGGAGTTTTCCCCTGACAGTTTTCAGAGGAACTTTTTCTCCATCCATCTCTGCCATTTTTGTGTCCGCCATTGGCCACCGGGAGATCTGAACCAGCCGGGACCCGCGCCACAGCGCCCCCTGCAGCCGCTGGGGAATCATCGCACCTGCCCTGCCCGGCCGGGAGCCAACAGCGCCCCTGCCGGCTGGGACTGTAACTGCACCAACGGGGAGGCTGTGTCTCTGTAAGGCTGTCACTGGGTTTGTGGCTGGGTTGGTTGTTGCTATCATTGTTGTTACTTGTTTCACCTTGTTATACATATTAGTAAAAACTGTTATTGCCTTTTACCCACATTCTTGCCTGAAAGCCCATGATTTCAAAGATGTAATAATTCGGAGGGAAGGGGGGTCATATCCACCACTCCAAGGGAGGTCCCTGCCTTCACTGGCAAGCACCTGTCTTTCAAAGCAAGACAGCCCCCTTATTAAAAAGTTGCCTAAAAAATAAAGCAGAAAAAAAAGATGGTTGCACAGACTGCAGTTTGCTGCTGTATTAATACAGCACCAACAGATGCTGTAATTAGAAAGTAAAAGGCAACCAGAGGAATTGTTAATAGTGTTGTGCAGTGCTTAGGCTTCTAAAACTAAAATGCTTCTTTGGGGAAGTGATAAATGTTTTCATACGTGATCCTGTGACTACAGTAAAAACACTAAAGACCCATTCCCACAAGTGTCATTTGCTATAAACCTGGGCTAGTTTTGGCTGGGGTRGAGTTGATTTGATTCAGAGTATGAGGCTGTATTTTGGATTTGTGCTGCAAACAGCGTTGATTACACAGGCTGTTTTAGTTATTGCTAAACAGTGTTTGCACAGCCTCAAGGCCTTTCCTGCTTCTCACCCCATCCCACCAGCAAGTAGACTGGGGTGCCACAAGAATTTGGGAGGGGACATAGCCAGGACAACTGACCCCAACTGACCAAAGCAATATTCCACACCACATGGAATATAAAGCTGGGGAAGGAGAAGGGGTGACATTCAGAGTGATGGAATTTGTTTTTCCAAGTAGCTGTTGTCTGTGATGTAGCCCTGATTGCCTGGGAGTGGCTGAACAAGTGTCTGCCTATGGGAAGCAGGGAACAGTGAATGAATTCCCTGTTTTGTTTTGCTTGCACATGCAGCTTTTGTTTTACCTGTTAAACTGCCATTAACTCAACCCCGTTTTTTTTCCTCACTATTACCTTTCTGATTCTCTCTCCCATCCCACTGAGGTACAATAAGCAAGCAGCTGTCTGGTGCTTAGTTGCCAGCTGGGGATGAACCATGACATAACCACAAGGATATACTTGCACATTGCTCCMGTTTCTACAATACTATTCTAAATTTATCACTATTCCTAACGAATTTCTCTGTTTTAGGAGCACATTAGTGATTTTCTTTTCTTAAATGCAAGATATTTGCTATTTTTTGCTATGATCCATTCACATGCTGACTTAGAACACAAATGAAGGAGAATAATATGCTGCCTCCAGTACAACAAAGGAAAAAGATTTAGATTCAGTAGAACGCAGGCAGGCAATGTATTAGTTCAATGCATGTTCTTAATCTCTGCTGGAAAAGGATTTCTATGTTGGCACAGGGCACCAGAGAAGCTGAGTGAAACCAACATGGCATCTATCAAGAGACAAGACTCCTATTCTATTGGTTTGATACCAATACAGATTCTCTTTGAAGGCAGTTGACCTCCAGTGTGAAACTCAGTCACCCCCCAAAAAATCCAAAACCACATGACCTCCCACACACACGTACCCCTAACAGGCAAAACTGCTAATTAGAGCAAACACACAGAACAATTCAGGGTATCTGGAAGAAAGGGTCAGGGCTGTTGTGGCACAAGTTCTGTATTTCAAGTAAAGAGGTGGAAAACTGAACTGGAACTCAATTCTRGCTAATACTTCTTTCTAGAAAATAGTACATTAATACTATTCAAACACATTAATTTCCAGACATATGTGGAATGGGGGGACAGACCCCAGGAGAGAGAATTATATATGGTGTTTAAAGTCTTGCAGGATCTACTCTCAGGGATATTTCCCTGAGAGCTAAATCACCRGAAAGCTTGTTGCTGTTAGGTTCCAATCTACCTGAAAGAACAGAAATGCATCAGAGCAGGGGCCATTGCTTTGGTCTGGTGCAAAACCACAAGGCACAGGGTATAGCCCAGGCTCTCCAGACCACCTGGAGAGCCCAGKAACCACAAACAATCAGAAAGAAGGTAAGGAAACAGAAATAGCAATTGCTTGATGGCACCAGCAAGTTCTAGCCCTACGGCTTTTCCATCTGCCACGTTTTGCCTTCCCTAAGAGCAGTCTCAGGAGTAGATTTTCTCTGGCTCTTCACAGTACTGTTGGATGAGCTCAGCAAGGTCAAGACACCGCAAAATTCGCCATTTCTCWGCAGCCAGCTCCTCCTTGGAGACCTGGCCCAGCAGTTTCTTTGCAAAGAGGTTCTGATCCTGCATGAAAAGGCCCACAGAAGACCTTGGAGCTTCAGGGAAGTTCTCCAGGCAACCACTTGTGAAACAGAAGTTGATTTTCTTCTCACGTCTCATCCCTGGTCCTCTTTCTTCAATCCAAGTCAAGGGTCTAGTTTGAAAGTATAGAGAAAAAGTATTAACTATGAAATTCAATCAACAATTCTAATTTGTTTGGTTTTTTTCCCCTCAGCATTTACAGAAAACGTGCTAATAAATCACCATCTTTGAGTATCAGTCATTGCATATTTAGGCAACATGTCCGGATCAATATGCCTTGTGGTTACAGAGCTCAACAGCAGGTGATAGTCTCAACTCTGCCCTGTTTCATGCCATGACTTTCAGCACACCATCTAAKCTCTCTCCAGCTTTGTTTTCCCTATGCACAAAATGAGGCAAGCAACATCAAGACGTCACAAGGAAGAGGGAAGTTTGTGGGTTGGTTGTTTGTGGACTTGGATGAAAAGTACAGTTAATTGTCCAAAAATTTTGTACGTAATTCAGTCACTGCTAAACTCAAAAGGCCCTCAATGTCTAGTCATTCCTCCAGCAAGATTAAATTTAAGTCATTCAGGTACATGATGATGACCCAGGTGCTACTGTGTGAGCTGAACCTCACCCCTTGGGGATGAGCCGGACAAGCTCACTCACACAAAGTGTCCATACTCTCTGAACTTTTAAAATGTTTTGTTCTCATCACTAGGAGCACTAAGCTGTTCCTAAATTTTATACCTAAATAGCCTCTCAGGCAGGCCTTTCTTAATCAGAGCAGAGTCCTGTCTTGAACCAATGCAACAGCACAGTCTCCAAACCAAGTGTGGTGGTATTAGCTATTGACTTGCACAGCTCACACATTCCTTCCCAACTTCCCATCTTAGCTGAGGACAATGGAGCCATGGGATGTGCTGAGCCACTTCAGGGGTCTTAACAGACTCCTTSACCCAACACTGCAATGCCTTTGAGGAATGATCCTCAACACCAGCCATAGTCATGATCCTCTTTTCCTGCTCTTTTGTCGATTTCCTGAACCATACCATTGCCTTTCTGCAGCTCATTCATCAGCAGTCACTACTGCCTGTGTTTAGAGGATGCACATTATTTTTCTTACTTGGTTATTGATGGCCCTTCCACAGTCCTTTATGAACCACTTTAGTCTGCCACTCACAAATTATGAAGGCATCAACAGCCTGGAAGAATAAATYCTGTCTCCAAGTACTGCCCATTAAATCTTCAGTATCATTAGATCTGGAAAGMAAGTCCTTGTCAATCTGCTCTGAACACATTCAGCAGAGCACTCAGCTCAGTGTTTCTGCATCTCTCATCTTTCACACTCTAGGATTCAGTTTCTATATTTACACCATTGTATCAATTATTCTTTGCTCACCTGTGCTTCCACATCCCCACTATTCYCCCTGCAAATCAAGCATGGCCAGATGAACCTGACTGAACAGAATAAAACCAGAAGGGGGAAATATACCCAAATCACAGCCTGCAAGAATGAACCAAAAAATTCTCAGAGGGCAAATAAATGCAAGGGCACTGCAGGTTCTAGGAAGTCCCCGGGCTACATGTCACTGCAAGCAAGAAGGGTGCCTGGGGGCCATATTGCTCAGTGTTTTCTGTGTTCCCATTCTCTTTCCCTGAGGTAAAGGCTGTTGATCTGGGTCAGAGACAGGCTGCTGAACAAGCTGAGCTTTGCTCTGACTTGACAGAGCTGGTTTTATATTCTGATGATTGTAAACAGTCCCAGAGCATTCAGGCCACTGTTATTCAAAGCTACTTTATCTCAGGCAGGCAGGTATGAAGAAACCACTGGGCAGGCACCGGCAAAGATCTCCATCATGTAACAGAGAAAGGAGCTCACGACATGATCCAAAGCAGGCCCTGTCAATGCAGGATCACCTCCCTGGGGTGATCTAGAGCAGATGCACACCAGTGATCAGGCTCAAGTGTATGCCTTCTGCTCTAGCTTGGGAAGCCACTGAACCAGAAGCACAATCATGCAGAGCTGGCAGAATTTAATCAGTGATTCGAATGACTGATTTAGATCAGTGAGCAGGAAAATGTTGGATTTGCTAATAGATATACCTTCTCCTGCAATTGGATTTTTAGTCATTTTCCTAGAGAAATTGATACTAGTTGATTGGTAACCAAAACATATTCACTTTTAATTAATAACAACTTCCCTGAAATAAGCCTCTTGTTTTGCTACAAAGATAAGTATGTTGCAAGTTTCCATATTATTTAAGCAATTTTGTAGGTTAAGAAACAGATTTGCATTTTATGTCAGAAAATTGTGAAGGGCTGCTGCTTTATTCACAGACAATTTATTAATTTTAATTTAAAATTTGTATTAAAACATTATTTGGCTACAGATATATTTAGTTATTTAGAAGTGTTACTTACAAGCAACAAATTCAACATTTTTGAGCGCTGAATAAAGCCAGATTATGTATGTTGAGTAGTTAAAGAAGAGGAACAAGAAAATTTAATTAAGCATTAACAAAACATTTTTATACTGACTGTTTGCAAAGAAAACAGTCTGCAGTGAAGAAAACACCCTGCCTTTTTATGGTCATTCTGTCTTTCCAAATTTCAAACAGGTAGAGTTTTCTTAGCTACATTTTATTCAGGGATTGAAAGAGATTTCTTTCTTTTCTGATTCCCTTTTTCCTTAAATGAGTGGCCCTTGCTGGACTGCAATAGCTCAATAAACCAATATGAAGCAAACACTCTTTGTACCTCTAGAAGAATTAAGCTGGTTTCATGCTTGAGAGAATTCTGGGTCCACTCAGCTTAAAATTTTATGCAGCAACTTCTGCAGAAAGTCTGTATTACATAWTTTTCTATGAATGTTCAATTTGAAGGTATTTTATTAGACTCTGTAAGCTTAGATCTCCATAAAAGTATAACTTCAAATGTTTATTGTCAGAATATGTTCAAAAAATGTCTTCAATTTCTTTTAAACATTTTCCTTTTCACACTTCGACATGCCAGTATTTTTAATTTATCATTAAACCAATGAGGGCCTCTCTTAGCTTGAATGGAAATTAGACAATGGAACCTTATCCCTAGATAATACCAAAAGGGATGCTGCCCAAATAATTATCTCTCCAGCTCGCATTAAAAATTGATTTCTGACATTTACTGAATCCAAGCTCTGTAATCCTGGGACAGGAACTGCAGTCCCAAACCAGACGTGCTGTCAGTAGAAGTTTGGCTCTTCCTGGATTGCTCAATGTTGTATCACAGAGAGGCTGTCAGCTCAGTTGTCTTGGATACACAACAGAGGCAGAGGTCRTCTCCCAAATAGCTGGGTGCAGGCATTAACACACCTCCAAAATCCACCCAGAGCCAGAAAAGCAGCCAGGGTGGGCTGTGCAGAGGAGACAGACTATACCCTTTGCACAAATCCCTGCTTAACAAGCAGAACACAGGCTCCTGCATTCTGTACTTGCTGTATTTTCYAATGCAGAAAATAGGATGAATTAACCTGATTTCTGAAGGTTACTGTACTCATCTCTTTCAAACAAGGAAGGGATAGCTGTCATGAAAGGCACAGACCTTTCCCATCCTTCAGCAAAATAAAGGTTGGGCAAACAAGAGTTGTACACCACCACCATTACTACTGGGCCATAACTTCACCTGACAGAGACTGGGCCAAATTCTCTACTGCAGTAACTCCACTGACGTCAGTGGGGGAAGGTCAGCAGGAAATACAGCCCCAGCTGAACACAATACAGGAACACTATGTGATTTTCCATCCACCCTAAATTATCCCAGACACATAAAACTGACTGTCCCCAAAGTTATTAAAACACTCCTGGTGAGAAAACACTGATCCATACAAATAGTAGTGGCCAAGAGAAGCAGATACTGGTTAATTGTGTGGAGCAGGAAAAAAACGAGCATTCCAGAAACAGTTCTGTATCCAGCAAATATACATAGTAGCTAAGACTACCCAGGAGACAGGACAGCCAGGGAAACATTTAAACCACCCGCTAGTTCCATCTGCTGGAATTAGTTCAAAATCTCACCCTATCTAGATCTTTACAGCTTCTTAAGTTACTAGCAAATTGCTTGGAGGGTAAACAGACCTTGTATACAGAGTTCTGTCCTCTTACAACTGCATTTCAAAAGGAATTGGAAATGCTGTTTTATTTAAAGAGAGAGGAAGATTGCTAAAACAAGATGATAATCCCAGGATAAACTGCAATGGGGTTTGTAGGAGTGGCTGATGAAATGCTTAACCAGACTCGCAGTGAAGTTAAGAGTTCAAATGAACCCTGATTATTCATTCCCCAAACAGCTAGTCCTTCAGGTTATATATATATATATAAAATTTATTTTAACGTTCGGGTTATATATATTTTAACTAAACATTGATCTGCAATGCTGGATTAGGTTTGGGCTTTTTATAAGGTCTATCAGCATATTTGCAAACAAAAAAAAAAAAAGAACAAATAGTTCCAGCACCATTGGGTAACTTCTCTATCTCTTTTTTCCAAGTAATTCTCAAGTTGTATCTTGTTGCTTTAAAGTGACATTTTAAGTAACTTCAACATATTTGAAAGAACATGAACTGTGTATAGATAATCCTGAACGACCAAACCTGAGTTTCCACCAGTCTCTGGACCATGCTGAGTACTCAATCAACAGTATGAAATACTGATGGCTTACTTCATAGTTATGAAATGTTTTTACATACACCAATTTTTAGCAAGGCTATTAAAAATACCCTATTTGACAGGRAGGATACTGTCACCACATAATAAAAGGCAGATCAAACTCAGTATTATAAAATGCATSTTTAAAAGACATGTACACTTCCACACCAGCCTCCACCCATTCTGTTTCCACAAGAGGAGAAGAGGATGCAGAAGTCTTGCAGGCAGAAGTCCTGCAGATGATAGGGARCCTGGCTCACGTGTTGTCACAGCCATTACTCACTTCTTGTTTGCTGTGTTAAAGTGAACAGTCATTCTGGAATAATTCTTATCCTTCTGCTTCTCTCTGGTGGCAGAGGTAACAGTGAGGTCTCCAAAGAGGTCAATCAGCCAAGTCAGACGGGCAATTCCACTGAAAGCTGGGAATCCTGATTTGTTTTCATCAAGGACACTACCTGATGGAACAGAATAGAAACTTTTGAGAAATAGGAAAATGAGTAACACCTTCTGCATAGGAAAGGATGAATAAACTGCAGTGTTGCAGGCTTAAAGATCAGAGTGTAGAAAGTTCATGAGTGGATGGACTGAGTAGGAAAGTCAACAAACATGGACAATGTTGAAATGAATCTGTTGATGAGCCAAGGCAGAGAAGGCTGCAAAAAGTAGATATACAACAAACTCTTCAGGACATGTTAACAGGAGGGTGCATGTGGATTCAACAAGGGAATAAAGTAGGGAGACAACAATGGCCAAAAAAATCTYTCCCAGCATCTCTTCCAGCTCTTCTGGGAGCAAACATCAGTATTGAAGACTAAAGGTTCCCACCAGAAATTGAGACACTTTCTCAGCACTCAACCCCCTCTCCAAGATCAATGTGAATAAGAAATGCATCACTCCTACCAAAGTACAGAAGCTATGAACAAGTGTTCTCCCCTGCATACACCAAGGCACAGGCTTGCATTATTCACTAGACAGCAGAAAGAAATCAGCAAAGTATGAGTCCATAGAAAACAGCTGTTAAGGCAAAGGTGCTTTCCAGACAGTTCTRCAATTCCATCACAATATCCACAACCAATACCTGGGCCTCAGTTTATAGAGGGACTCTAGTGTAAAAGGACTAAATGAAGCCTATAAGCCTGTGGAGCAGGCAGACAAAGCCAGATGGACTTTGATTGCTTCAGAGCTACTGACCTGTGAAATGCAATGTTCCCTTCACCAGGTCTTTCCCAGCCACCTCTTTTTTCAGCTGCTTGTACTCTTCAGTAAGAAGCTCAATGTGCTCCACRTGGAGTATTTTATCTGTCATTAAAAAAAAAMCAACAAACAAACAAAMYAAAAAAACAACAAYAAAAAAGGCAAAAATCAGGACAGATTAAAAAGTAAGTCTTCCGTGTGGATAAAAGTCATGTCTAAACAGTAAAGGCCTCACTAGCCAGCAGTGGAAACTCACTTAGAAATATTCTCATGCATGGCTGACAAAGTGATGTCAGGAAGAAAATCAACCAGGCCCTGAGCTGAAACATCCATCTTGGTAAAGGATTTTCAGGAGACAASAAATACAGACTACAAGAACAGTAGCCACTATGTTTAACAGAAACTCTGATTGAAATCCAGTACCCAGCTAAGGCTGAAACATGARTCTTCAGAGTAACGGATGGATTAATTCTTGGCCTCTCTCCTCTCACATTCCCTTGTTCTGCATTTTTCCTCCCAGGGTAGTTAGGAAAGAAAAAGGAAGGGGGAAAATAGCATAATGCTCAGACCCAGATTGAAACAATATGTTAAGGAGTTCCTCCCTCCACTGCAATTAATTGGGCTACTTTGAAATAGAGGTTATCCAATACAAGTTGAATGTGTCCCTGATTCAATACATGYTTTTCTGGAAGATTTCCAGGAGAGTCAGTGTAGGCTGCTGACAGTAACTGCTGCTGCTTCATGGAAWGAGGCATAATAAATTCTGCTCAATGGGAAGCCATTTGGCAAGCAGCAAGGCAGTAACTGGTGTCGGTACAGGGAAAGAGCAAAGCAGAAATCCTATACCTCCGGTGTTTCAGGACAAAAGTCACAAAGGAGATTTTTAAGAAGCAGTAGTATAAATAGCACAGCACGTCCAAATGATTTGCACTCTGCTCCTGCCCAGTACTGCTCTTTCCCTTACAGCCCCATTCATCGCCACTGGCCTCAAATGAACTGCCATCTTCTGACTCTTTCCACCACTGGGATGGGACCACACACTTTCTGGAAATAAAGACATTTTGCTAAAGACAAGCTRTGTTTTAGACAGGGATGCCTTGCTGGCCTACAACAGTATGAGCAGCTGTGTGTGACCAGCACATCACAAACACTAGAAGTTAGGGTAGCTGCTTGCAGTTTCACTCCAGGGTGAGAGAGAGAACACAGAAGTGCACAAGTTCAATAGCTGCACTCATCAAATGCTTTACTATCACTGCGACAGAAGTTTTCCTCTTTAACTGCATTCTAAGTGTACAAATAGAGGCTAGCATTTTTGTGAGGGCAAACATAATTTACTCTTAGCATTGTCATTTGTAATTTTTCCCTGTTGGCACAAGCCTTAAATCCTAGACTGGCACATCTCTGAGACAGTCACACTCTCTTGCATGTAATGACTAATAGCCAGCTGAAGATTTGCCTTTGAGTTTGGTGCCTTTGGTCCTACCCTACAGGTCATACTGCTTACACTCTTGAGAACRAATGTGTTACCTTTCTGCTCAGCCATCTCCCAGAGCTCATGGGCAGCCTTAGCAGACAAAGCCATGGGGTACTCAACAAGGACATGTTTCCCAGCTTCTAAAAACATTCTGAAAGGGATAAAAGATCAGCCATTAAAAAGAATGTTATCCTAATCCTCTCTCACCACAGTTTAAGCTGCTTCTCATTCCCACAGCCAGCTCTATATGGGGAGATACACAACATGGACTAACAGAAATAAATGGCAACTTTCCTAGCAAGGATGGTGTGGTGGCTACATCACACATTTAAACAGCAGTGGAGCAGGGTTTTAATTCTTCTTTTGCCACAAAATTCCCTCACTCACCTACATCAAGTCGTTAAAATGCTACAGCATTTTAACAGTTGAGCACTTTAATTTCTGACTTACAGACATGTGAGTAGCTGGAGTGGGGCACCAGACTACCCTTCCACAACATAATCCGTGAGGAAAGGCTTTGAATCCTGTTTAAAGCTGCCTGTCCATCAAACACAGACCTAGAGGTATGGAAATGGAATTACTTGGGAAATTAATGCATCTTAAATCCTACTCTCTTCCAGGGCTTATTGGTGCTCTAGGGAACTCACTATCATTCACTTCAGGCCTCTAGTTTGGCAGTCTTTTCTCAGAGTCCATATCTTCTCCTGCAACAGCTTTACACAACTTTTCTGTGTTTTTAAAATACAGGGGAAAGGGGGAAAAGAGCAGGGGGAAATGCCCCAAAATACCTGATGGTTTCTTCATGGCTTCTGTTCTCTGTGCTGATGAAGGCTGCATGGATGTCTTTGCTTCTCAGAGCATCTTCCAGGCTAATCTGYTTGGCATCATTAATATTGCCAAAACTTCTCCTGCATATTTAGCATAAATACAACCAGAGTGTAACTGTCACAGTCCATTCTTCCCAAACACGTTGTGTAGCAGTACTTAAAAATTGCTCCCATGGACCACTGTCTCACTGAATTCAACCAGGGTACAACAAAGGCAGTTTTGTTATGCAGGAAGAGCATGAGCACTAACAGACAGAAATGGAATGAAAAAAAAAAAAAAAAAAAAAAAAAAAAAAAAAAAAAAAAAAAAAAAAAAAAAAAAAAAAAAAAAAAAAGACCAGTGTGTAGGTGGTGGTATCAGTCCAGAAACTGGCCTATTGAACTGTCAAGTCCTTTTTGGTTTTGGTGTTTCGCTTTTAATAAGCATTATTACCAAAGAGATGCTGTAAAAAAGAGACTTGAAAGAGGACAATGCTCCTATGGGAGAACTTCTCCCCACCATCCTGGATGACGTGGACAAAAGCACTCGAGTTGGCAGGGCCACACACAACTGCAAGTACAGACAAGCAKGATCGGGACAAAGCAGATGCTCCGCTACGATGGCCCACATTGCAATATACACAGCATGTCAGTGCTAAGGGGAAAGCTGAGCACATCTCCAGTTGCAAATGAAAAACACATTCTCCCAAAAGCCCTCTGCATTACTACAGACTGCAGCAGGCACYTTGAGAGTGTTAGTATAGGTGACACAGGGCAGGAAGGCAGGCCACAACCAGGATTTGARAACAAAGACAGGTGATGTTTGTGTGTGATTGGGATCCAAGGAAGATTACTGTGAATCATGCATTTCAATAGTGCTGTTTCTCAAAAAAAAAGCAGTGGAAACCCTATCTTCACTGTTCTTCAAGGTTACCTGTAGCACTGGCAGAGGCATCAGAGAACCAAAAGTGCATTTGGCAGGAAGATAAAGTGGGTGACCTAATCAGTCCTTTCCGTCTCAAACAGCCCTGCATGATTTAAATATAGCTGGAAAAATACATTCACTATCTGAGATCCATAAATGTACTGCCTATTTAAAATTGCTTTGCTCCACTCTAATGGATCAGACAGTCTAGCAGGAATGCTCAGAGGAAGGTACTCATTAAATTTCCACAGCTCCAAATGGGTGAGAAGATCTCTTGTTCTCTAAGAMGCAACCTTATTGCAGGTACTAAATCACAGCATTGTCTTTAGTACAGGTTTGATACCTGGTTTTAAAAAAATACTAGAATGTTACTATGGAGTTGGAGTACTGGGGGCTTTAAAACATGTTTTTGTAAAAGAACTTTTTTAAACTCTCTGAAACTTTTTACTTTTTTAACATTTCAAGAAGTGTCATGCAGACACTGGATCATTAGTGTACTTATTGTCTGCAGTACCTTAAATCTACAGGAAATTCCAGTCAGACAATTTATTTTTATCACACAGATTGTACAGCAAGAACATCTCTCAACTTTTATTTTAGTCATTTCTGAAAGATATCTCTCTAAGGTAACCTATTCATTCCCACTTGCAAAGCTTTCTGTGCTCATTTCTGAGCTGCCACTCAGAATGACAGGCATATTTGCACGAACTTTCCCTTTTCAGTTTAAAAAAGAAGAAAAAACAATATACATATTAAACATGCTAAGATGAAATTTCTAACCTGGATACAAATCCAAATAGTTTCAGGTGCTCAGAAGGGCTRGAAGGCATCGGATTCATCAAGTCTCGGATACGTGCTAAACCAGCAATTCCAACTCCAACCACCACCGTCCCAAACATTTTGCAAATCTGTCCAAAAGGAAAAAAAAATTTAAAAAACAACATTTTCTTTCTTGTAGCCCAGACAAGCACAACTGGGAGGGAAGGTGGGAGAATGGATTATTCTTGAGCCCTGCTTTCATACAGCCAAACCTTATTCAGGTGTCAGCAACCAGCTAACAGAGATGTGATGCCATAGGCTACCAAGCTCACTCACATCCCATTGAAATGGGATCAAGTGGTTCAGTCTGTCACAGGACTGGTCTTGAGATWTGTATTGAACAGCTACTAAATCACAGCTCCAGCAAAGTTCTTCCTTTCCGTGGATAGAAAGCAGACTTCAAAAGTGAGACATTCTTCTATTTATATCRCCACTTCCAAGCTGGAAAGGAGCCAAAAGGTTCTGCAAACCCAGCAGAGCTTTATATAAACCCTGCTGACTTCCTGAGTATCTGCAGCACAGTGCCACACAGACAGTCACAGTGCTCAGCAGCATAGTTGGAATACTTYGGGACAGGAAGCAAAGAGCATCTTTTCTTTCCCCATGTAACCGCCAGCAYGTCCTACAATGTCAAGCTGTAACCAACCATCTAATAATTTGGTCAAGATGCTTGCTTGATACCTCCAAGCACAAAGAAAGTTCTGCCATCTCTATAATGACAAGCAGGCATGTCCTTAAGATTTGCATCTCCCAAATGCAAGTGCTGACACAACTGCCTAATTCAGAGGATGAGACTCTCTTCACTCACTGGCTGGGCTGCTGGGGCTCTGGCAATAAATTCTTCTGTTGGTTTTATGATTTGCTATTGATCTGCAAAAATAGCTGCAAAGGCAACTGGTGTAATCTTTCAAATCTGCACTGTTCCAGCACCCTGAGGACTAGCAACACTTCGTAAATGTATTGAAGATTTGCAGGAAAATGCCCTAAAACAAGTCAGGTCAGACCCTCCTCACTTTTTTTTCCTTCCATTCCATGAAAGCATCCCCTCAATCTGTTTCTTCTGTATCACTCTTCTTCCTGTTACTGCCAATCCCTTCACCTGAGTGAACTCTTTAGATTGTTTACACTACTTGGCTGCAGCCCTTCACATCTTTCTGAGATTGAGATGGGTAAATGGACAGCCCCACTTAACTCTTCCTGGTGCCTCTTGTCTGACAGRATCACAGTGCAGCAGCAAAGCCATAAGTGACTGTTCTGGCAATGAGAGAGGTTGACAGCTGCAGAGAAATTACATCAACTGGCACAAAGTAAAAAAGATCCCCTCTCCAATCACATGCCATGTCTGTATTTTGTTTTCCTATAGGCTCCTGCCTAAGGKGCTGAACTCCACTCACTTGATATATGCTAAAAAGGTACAAAGGTAAAACACAGAGCAGAATGTTTAGTACAAGAACAAAATGAGTGATATAGTGAAGAGTTCTCCAGGAGACATTTAACTACCAGTGACATTTAACTACTAAATATCTGAGGTAAAGCATGATGACAATGTTCACCAGGAAAGACAAAGAGAGGCTCTAGACATAGCTGAGAGAGAGAGGAGGTAAAGGAGGGCAACATGACAACACAACCCATTTTCAACAACGCCCACGGGCAGAGTCCTGGTGTGGGCTGTCCATCACATTTGCTTTTCTCTATGGCCAAAGAGWAAAAGAGACTCAGACTTGCAGAATGACCTCAGCTGGAAGGAGCCCCAGAAGRTCACCCAATCCAAACCCCACTCAGTCACACCAGGGCCATGCTGAGTTCTGACTGCCCCCAAGGCTGGCAATTCGTCAGCCTCCCACGCCCCTGCCACAGTGTTTGACCGCTGTCACAGCAAGAACTTCGTAAGTGTTGTAAGGCTCCAAACAACTTTGATCAATGAAACTTTTAAAAGGGCTTATATTTGCTCATGCACTCCGAGTTAGATGCACAGGAGAAATACCAACAAGTAATTCTCAAGAGGTCAAAACAACAAAAAAGACTTCACTGCCCACTTTAGAAATTCAGAGAAGTTTGGCAAAAGGCTTAATGCAACATTAAATCAACATAAAACACTTCTCAAAGCATTAACTTGGCCTATTTAACTTTGCAGACTCTAAGTCTGTTCAATTTTAAGTTATTCAAAAATCCAAGAAGAGGGAATTAGAAGAAGAAAAAGAAAGAACAGAAAATATAGAAAAGGACATATAGAAATAGATATAGATATATAGAAAAGGACACATACAGTTACAAGCTCCTGGGTTTCAGTGGTGTTCAGATAGAAATTCCAAGAGGAGGTACTGTCAAGACATCTGATTACTTCACGTTCAACCTTAAATACCCCTTGGTCTTCCTGGGCCCTTCCCCCAGGTGGGACTTCCAGTCATTTGGCCACTCAGGAGCTGGATGAGGGGCTCCAGAGGAGAGTGCAGAGCATTGCCCCTGCTGTGGCAGCGACTGGCAGCCACTGCCAGGCTGGAATACTGGCTCTAGGGGTGTGGGTGTACAGGGCAGTGCATTGCCTCACCAGGACAAGGTCCGACCTGCCCCTTCCTCTCCCACACATGCAGCCCAAAATGTCTCGAGACATGAGTTTCCAGTCTCTCACAAGTCCAGCTTGAAAATAGCTGATCAGGAGCCGACTTTAAATTCAGAAATGCTCAAGGTTAGTGAAGTTAAAGCTGTTAATATTTGCCTACTGCTGCAGTAGGATTGGGAGTTGGAGTCATACAGCAAACTAACTCCCCTGAACCTCCTACAATAATCTTGTTTCCAAGAACTACTTTTTTTTTTGTTTGTTTTGTTTTGTTTTGTTTTGCTGGTGGTGAACTACTGACCTCTGCTTCAACAAAGTGGAGAAAGTGGGGGTGCTGACCACCTTCTTCAGTGAACAAAGAAAATCTCTTCACAGATGCTCGGGTTGCTGAAAATCAATATTTTTCATCTCCTTTCAAAAAAACTTTCCAAKATTCATTTAATGAACATCTCCTGACCTCTTCAAAAGTAACATTTAAGAGAAGCTAGATGATTTCAGCCTAAGAACAAAAACTGTTACTATGCAACCCATTGCCATAGCAACCAGCCATTTGGTCCAGGTCAAGGGTTCACTGGCTAATACACCRAGAGAACCAGCTACTAAATGTATGTTATGGAACCTTTGCTTATGCACATAGCTAAGAGAAAAATTGCTATGTTTGCATCCCTGCTGCAGCTTTTTATCATCCTCATTTTGCTCACACACCAAAATCTGCAGCTGCTCAGGGAGAAAAGTAAATTAGGGGTTTTTCAGAACTGTTACAAAGCAGGTAAGAGCAGAATAAAGAATTCTCATCTGAGAGTCCAGATGAATATATAACCATTTACTTCTTATTTCAAACCTTTAGAAGAAGGTAACAGCTACAGTTATCTTTCAAGTACAAAAATGATRAAGTAGGAAACACACATCATAAACTGCTGTACCTGCCTTTCACACCTTTTTCTTAGAATCAGTCACCTCTGTTAAAGCTTTGACAAAAAAAAGATTTTGGAGGCATTTTCAAGGCTGCTGAACTTTGGCTCCTGTCATACTAAAAAAAAAGTCATACTGTGAGTGATATAACTGTATATCAACCARTGTCCAAAAGCATTTTTGCCACCCTTTCCTAACTGGCTTTATGAAAGCAAAGGGGCTGATGAGAAGATTAGAAGAAGATTAGAGATTTAGATCTCCTTCATRCTCACACACTGTGTCTGAGGATGCCTCCCACATCCCAGCAGCACCCACCCTGGCTGGGTTGCAGGGAGCCCTGCCAGCCTCACCACGGGTCCCCTCTGAACTGGATCAAGGGGGATGGTGGCTGCCACYGACTGCTCGGGAGCTTTTTCCCACTGACAGCCAGCACAAGTGGCTCCTCTTCCCGAGGGAGATGACACAGAGAAGGAGCTGAGAAAGGCAAATAGCTGAAGAGGATCATTTATTCTACACCAATATATCATTGTACTGTCACCCTCTGCTCTTAAGCTTTCTGTGCTTCTGCTGCATATTTCCTACACTAGAGCTATACTACCCTGCAGCAATTAAAAAAAGTGCTCTATACTCAAATGTTCCTGCAAAATTTAGCAGCAAAGCAGGAATATTCAGCAACAAAATAAATAATGGAGTAAGTCCAAAGAAATCCTAAACTCAGTAAAAGTGTTCCTCTCCAGTGCAAACACAAGGGGGACCCTACATCTCAAAACTGCTAACACTCACCGAGGTAAGCTTGAGGAAAGTGAGGCCTACCTCCATTTTGTGCAACATCACTAAGGCCATGTAAAGTCAGTGCAGAAGCAAGATAAAAGGAAGAACGCAGGAATTATCTCCCCTTCATGAAAATTTTCCATGCCATGTCTAGAYATAACAGAATGAATATAAGTACCTTCTCTCCTGATAGATAAGAATTTCAGCAAGCCTCATGCATTTTCCCTGTGTGCTTTCAAACTCTAGTTCCCACAAATATGAATGAGTGACCCACATCAGAAATTAGAATATTTTGCACTTAGTATCACAGATAGCAGCCTAACACTGATGTGGGAGGCTTTCCTGAAGCACTCCCAGCCTGGTGTTTTAAAGCGGGCTGCTTCAAGTGCCACATGTATCTTAAGAGTAGCAGAAACCTCACAGATGAGTACTTAATCTGAAAATACAGGTTAGCTTGCTTTTGCATACTCAGCAGTTGAACCATGAGTGTTTGAGCCTGGCTGCTAGAGGGATCCACCTCGTACAGATGAACACACATAAATACCCTCACTAGCAGACCTTCACCCTGAGTGCTCAGAGGAGAGAGGATGAGACTGCTGGTGCTGTGAGTGCTCGGTCTCTGATCTCTGTGTGTGTCTGGACATGCACATATGCATATACATGGTGTATAGGTGTGCCCTGCATGTGTATGCTTGGAATACGTTTTAAGCTTAAATATTGATTTGGCCCATGGAAGTCTTGCCTCTTCCACGCTGTTGGATTCAGCCTGATCTTTTCCCGACACAAAATCTAGCTGGACTTGTTGCCAGATGAAAAATCACCTGYACCTGGTAAGCTAACACAACACTTTTTTTTTCAAAAACCACTGACCTATGGAACAGCATGATGCCCAGGCAAGCAACCAGACCAGYTGTGCCAAATTTTACCAGTTCACTGGGGAGTCAGGTATTACTTTGGGGTCGCCAACCACCACGCAAACCACCAAAGAGACCCCAGGACAAAAKAAAGCATATGTAAAGGGGAAGAAAAATTCTAGGAAATTATTATCATATGTATGCTTATTCTGGGAAGATCAATGAATATGTATGCAAAATATAGTACATAAACAGGACCTTTTCTGTATTCAGTATGCAAAATTTTCATATCCCCTCATACATCTGACCAAATAAACAATGCCTGCTTTTTAATGCTACATTGGTGTTAAGGAGTTTATATTTACCAAATTTTGGTAACAGACTGAGGAAGTTTTCCAGAGTTCCCCTTGAATAGACTTGTGGATTGGACATCATACAAAATGCTTTCTTTGTTACTGCAGTGAAGCCCTGAGATGAAGRTTGCAGAATCTGGGAAATACCAGACAGACAGAAGCAGTCACTGTAAAATCAACAAGCTGAAAAATTGAGGTTTCCCTGAGCTCTAACTTTCTGATTTAAAATACCCAGAGACCTGGTAGATGCTGTAGTCAGGGTCCTGGTAGTACATGCTACAACCTGTGCCACCACATCTTGCTTTTATTGTCTGCCCTCAGCAAGAAGCATTTGCCCAGAGGAGAGAAAGCAGCAGCTGAACAGAGTGTCTTCTGTTAGAATTGTTATTTAAAAGGGGAAAAYTCAAAAATACTCCAATTTAGCATCCTAATCAAAGGCACAAATACCCTTTGTTCTGCAGGAAACCACCTACGCACTTACGCAGTCTGTATATGCTCAAGAACTTCCTGGAAGCAGACCCAGCACAGGCTCCCCACGAAAGACAAAACTTGAATGAAAATATTATTACTTTTTGCTCTGCCTTTGCTGCAACCTAGAAAGAAAAGTCAAGTCTTCTGCTATAAAGAAACAGTCAGGAAGGTAATCTCCAACACTCTACGCTACATCTCTCCAAAACATGAATTGAACATAAAATGATAATCAGAAATTTTCACAAAAACATGCCCAGACCATTTACAGACACCACATTTCAGAGGAAAACAACAGCACATACAAGTTGTAGACCAACAATGTACATTTTCCTTGAGAACTGCTTCTTTTAAATATCAACCCTTGCCAGCACCTCTTCATGTCTCCCACCCATTTCTCTGGCTATCACAACTCAGGACACAGTCTCACAACAGACACACAGGTTCTGCTGAGTGAGTTATAATTTCAAGACACCAACTCCCACAGAGGTTTGCCAGCAGAAAACAATCTCTCATTCTATTGGCATCACTGTACTTTGGAAACAGCCAAATGAACTTTAAATGCCACTTGAACAACATGCCTGCATTATTTTACATTTATATACAGGTTCACCAATTAAATTATGGTTTTCCAGCTGACTGCCAAAACTGAAGTTGATATAGTTATATTGAGATGTGGTCAGATGCTGTGTTAAGCTGCCAAACAAGCACCTTTACTCATCAGCAGATGGCTGATTAAATAAAGAACAGCAGTTGTAGCGGATATGCTGTCTCCAGCATTAATACCTGAGCAGGTGTGAAACTCTTATTTAAACACAGTTCTACAAGCTAAATGTGCTAACCCCAGAGCCTGCAGTGGTCCTAACACCCATCACAAGGCTGCTTTCCACACCCTGCAACTCCATACTCAAAGCAAAATCATTTCACAAAAGTAATATAAAACCATGAGAAGTACTGAAAAAATCTGAAGATCGGTTTTTAATGTGACATACTCCACACCATGAAGGATTGAAACAGAAGTTCTGTGATGTACATGCACAGCTAGGAATGACCATTTTGTCCTGTTCTCTTGCCTGGAGTTACCCTTCGCGATTCAGATTTGGTTGCTAGCCTGAAGAGGAAAAAACAAGGCAAGTAACACTTTTAAAATAGCTTCTCTACATATCTCTGGGGTCTAAGTCTTCAGTCAGACTTAATTTGTTTGAAACTCAAATTACATTTCAATATATCTACACTGCTGAGGCGAAACTATGTAAGAAAGAACAGAGCCTGCTTAGGGGCACCTGAAAAATCATTAATTAAACGCAAAAAACATGAAGGACTCCACTTTTTGCTTTGTAAAAATATCACCTAAAAAAAAAATTAAACCCTTACTTATATTAAGTTTCCAATAACTGCTCTGGACTGAATTSCAGGAAGTCTCGTGAAACTTCTGGTAGGTAAACAAACACAATTGCATACAACTGCAGCCT